GTAAGCTTCTTAAAGAACAAACCCCCCAAAACTCAGTTGCGAGACTTTTGTGTGAGGTAGTGAGAGAGATTTGCATATCCATGCTATAACTGATCAGGCATATAATGTTATGCTACATGGAATAATGTGAATATTGTATAACTGATAATTCATGTATGAACATGTGATTTATTTATAAGAATAAAAATGTTGAAATATTAAAAAAAAATAAAAAAAAATTGATCAGGCAGAATGTATGTAACCCATACGGATAGGCAAAATGTACATGCTGCCTGCAGCCTTTTTGTTTAGTAAAGCCTCAAAATGGGCCCTTGTGAAAAAGATTTGCCTGTCCCCATGTAGAGGAGGTGGTATACTCTGCTCCAAAATCGCTTGACCCTAGGAGAATTCCACTGAATGTGATAGAATGAGCCCTCCCATCGGACAGCCTTGAAAACAATAAGAGGAGAAAGCAGGGCTAACACAAGATATTTGAAGGAGGACCAGGTTCTACCTATGGAGGAGTTTATAATTTAGCTTCCATGGCAAGTACATGCAACAAGCTCTTTCGTGCCCTTTCATATCTGAATCGACTTCTAACAACCAAATTTACTGAAGTCCCTTCCCCATGTGGATTCATAAACAGGAGGAGCACTGTGGAGTAAGGGAGCATGACTTAGAGATGAAGCCAGGACCTCATACAGGGTAGGGATGCACCGATATCGAGTACCGATATTTTTCCCCCAGTAATCATAGATACAGGAAGTCCCATTAAGGAAGCCGGACGGTGTGTAATGACTCGCCACCCTGATACCAGAAACTCCGGTATCGGACTGGGCATTGGGAGCATTTGGGCAATTACGAATACTTGCCCAAATACTCAGTAACGGCACCACTACTAGTATCAGTGCATCCTTAATACAAGGTTCTTTCAAACACTGTAAAGAAAGGCTAAATCCTGAGTAGAACCGGCCAATATTTGGAGGAAGTGCTGGATTGGAAGATACTGAAACGTGTTCAGGCTGATGTTGATTTATATCCCTATGCGTTTGAAAGGGAACAATGCCTGTACAGTAATACCTTGGTTTACGAGCATAATTCGTTCCGGCAGCATGCTTGTAATCCAAAGCGCTTGTATATCAAAGCAAATTTCCCCATAGGAAATACAGATGATTCGTTCCACAACCCAAAAATATTCATATAAAATGATTACAATAATGTACTGTAATATAATACTGTACAAAATATAAAGAAAAATAAACCAATTACAGATACCTTTGTGGCCGGTGTGAGGGGGACAAGAGAGAGGAGGATTATTGTGTAGGACGACTTTCACTATCACTGCTCTCTTGACTCAATGGAATCTTTTTAATTTCGTGAAACCTTAACAAGGAATCTATCCAATGTGACATTGCATTGTCGTTAGACAGACTCATCGCTCGCACTGCTACAGCCTTATTCGGGGGGTGCTTTTCTACAAAATTTTGCTCTTATTGCAAGACATTGCTTGTATATCAAGGCAACATTTTTCAGAAATGTTTGCTTGTCTTGCAAAACACTCTCAAACCAAGTTACTTGTAAACCAAGGTATTACTGTATCTGTAAAAGTAGAGGCTGACAATATCAAGGCCGAAAAGGAAGTTGAATTGCATGTCCTGCAAGAGACAAAAGGTTACCCAAAATAGACAAGTATGTGGGGATGCCAGGGAAAATTCCTGTGTGTGGATAGTGATAGGGCATGTAACCACACTATGCTGTTTGGGAGCCAAGGTATGTTAGTTATCAATATAGAACTGTTCAAAATAGGCTTCAGGGGAGACCCACAATGGGGTATCTCTTGTTGTATGCCACCGAGCCAATGGGTCAGATGAGCTGCCTAGTAATATTTAGGAAATATTGGGTTACGTTACCTAGGCCCCCATGAAGTGTGGTTTTATACAGCATGGTGTGTGTGTTTTGGGGCGGGGTGCGTGCGATCTGTAGGAAAAGTGTCTAAAATTCAACCAGAATTTGGCCAATATATTCTCAATACCCTTGTGTAAAGGATGCAGACAGCTCATTATCAAACCACCTGCTAGAATTGTGACCAACACCTTCAGCTGTTACTTGAACATTAGGGTACTTTTTCCCACCCAAATCCATGTAGTAATCGACTCCTGCTGTGAAACGACCTCTGTGCAGGCGCTTGCTGTAGCTAAGACCGGTCACTGCTACTTTATGCAGGGTGACTGGTCTGGTATCTGTCAGTTATCTGCAGACAGCCTGTAATGGGTGGACCTACTGGGCTATGTGCAACACAGGGATGTGGTCACTGCTACTTTTTACAAGGTACAAAATGGCTTAGTGCACCCGAAGTGGCTCTGCCTTTGTTGCACCCTCCACAGCCGCCCCTCCCCCTCCCCCCCATGGGAGTCGGCCTCTGATGTTCGGTCTGGTTCCTAAATTGCAGGTTCCTTGTTTTGTTAATCACATTGAAAACGAATATATGGTGTGATGCTTTTTGTAATACTGACATTGATGTCTAATTCATCTGAATAGTGTTCCAGGTTTTGAAGTCCTCCTGAGGAAGCGGCGAATCATGATGAGGAACCCAGAAAAACGATCATCCTTTAATGCATCTAAAAATGACTTGATCACTGTAATGCAACTAGCATTGCTTGGCATCAATGAACTGATTGTATCTACAAATAGGATTTTCACTCTCAATTTATAATAAAATGTTTTAACACTTGATCAATGGTGAGGTAAAAATCTTTAGTTCTTTGGATAATATGGATTTACGTTGTTCGTGACTATTGAGCAATATATTTTGATGAAAGTTTTCGTGCCTGGAATCAAGCTTTAACATTCAATGAGAGCAAACTGCGGCAAAACTTTAAACAAAAAAAACACACCCACGTGTGATGTAAGCTGCCCATACCAGTAAGACTGGGTTCAGTTTTCCCCAAGTATCACCTAGAGCAGGGGTAACCAAACACAGGTCATCCAGCTGTGGTGGAACTACAATTCCCATGAGGCATTGCAACATTCTCAGACATGACTCCTGGTGAAAGATGCATCATGGGATTTGTAGTTCCACCACAGCAGGAGGACCAGTGTTTGGCTACCCCTGACCTAGAACATTAAACTTGCCTTAGATTTATTGGATGGCCGCCTCCTTTGCTAGAGTGACGTAGTTATTCCTTCTGCTGTCAGTCCTGTCACCCATGGTGCTACATTGCTGCCGTAATGGTTATGTTAATGTACCCATCAGTAATCAGTTATGCCTAGTTCTACCCGCAACCCAAAGAGTAAATTGCATTTCTCTTGAGACCTTTAACATTTCCTTGAAAACAAAGGGGGGGGGG